TCTTTATTAGTTTTTGTTCTGTTTTATTCGTTTTTCTTTTGTTTTTTACTTTTTAAAGTCAGGTTTCTTGAGATATAATTTACCTACAGTAAAATTTAACTTTTTTAGTTCTGTTACTTTTGACAAACATATGCAGTTGTATAACTTCCAATATGTTCAGGATATAGGCCTGTCACTCCTAAAAATTCACTCCTGCCCTTTGTAGGTAGCTCTTCTCCCCATCCCAGCACCTGAAAATCACTGCTCTGCATTTTGTCCATATACTTTTTCCATTTCCAGAGTATTATATAGATGTAATCATACAGTATGTGGCCTTCTGAGTCTGGTTCTTTACATATGAGATTGTAATTTTTGTCTTTTCTCTTTTTTTCTTGATCAGTCGGGCTAGCAATTTATTGATTTTATTGATCTTTTGATAGGACCAGCTTTTGGTTCAATTGAGTGTTCTCTGTTTTCAATTTTATTTTATTTTAGTTTTGCTCTTACCATTTTTGTTTCCTTCCTTTTGCTTATTTTGGATTTAATATGCTCTTCTTAAGATGGAAGCTTAGATTATTAATTTTAGAGCTTTCTTTTCTATTATAAGCATTTATTGCTATAAATATTCCTTTAAGCACTGCTTTAGCTGCATCCTGCAAATTTTGATGTGTTTTTATTTTCATTCATTTCAAAATATTTTCTAATTTCTCTTGCGACTTCCTCTTTTACCTATAGTTTATTTAGAAGTAGGTTGTTTATCTTCCAAATATTTTGAGGTTTCTCAGATTTCTTTTTGTTATAACTTTCTAGTTTAAGTCCATTGTGGTCAGAGACAAAACCTTTTCAGTTATTTTAAACTTGATGTTTGTTTTATGGCCTAGAACATGTGTGGTCAGTTTTGGTAAATGTTCTAAGTATACTTGAAGTTAATGGTGTATTCAAATGTTGCTGGGTTGAATGTTCCATAAATGTCAATTAGGGTAAGTACTTTGGTTGATAGAATTGTTCATGCTACTGATATTCTGTTTACTGGTTCTATTGAATACTAAGGAAGGATTGTTGAAGTCTCTGATTATAACTGAGGATTTGTCTATTTCTCCTTTCATTTCTCTCAATGTTTGCTTCATATGTTCTGGAGATCTCGTTAGGTGCATACACATATAGGACTTTTATGCCTTCTTGGTGAATTGACTCTTTTGTGATTATGCCTCTTTTATCTTTGGTAATTTTCCTTGTTCTCAAGTCTACTTTGGTAGTAATATAGCCACTCCAGGTTTCTTTGATTAGTGTTTGCATGGTATATCTTTTTGTATCCTTTAATCAGTGTCTTCCACTTTAAAGTGGGTTTCTTGTGGGTAGCATATATTTAGATTTTGCTTTTTTATCTATCTGACAATCTCTGACTTTTAATTTGTGTTTAGGTCATTTAAAAAAACTAATTATTGATATGGTTGGATTATAATCTGTTCTCTCTCTGTTTTTTATTCTCTAGTTGTTTTGTTTATTCTATTCTTTGCACCTCCCTGATTTTTTTTTACTTGATTTTGAATTGTCATTCATTTTATAGTTTCCCTAGGGTTTGCAATAAATAATTTTGATCACAGTCTACCTTTCAATAATATTTTACTGCTTTATGTGTAGTGTAAGAGTCTTACTTTGTTATACTTCCAATTTCTATTTCTCATCTTTCTTGTTATTGTCAAATGGTTTACTTTTACACATGTTGAAAAGCTACAATATATACCTGCTGATTTTGGTTTAGATGGTTTTCCTTAGAGCAATTAATTTTTTTGAAAAGATTTTTATTTTATATTTACCTTCATTGTAACCATTTCTGGAACTTATTTCTTCATGTAGTTTCTAATTTCTGTCTTTTTTATTTCTATCTTTAGAACTTTCTTATTTCTTATAATGCAGGTCTGTTGGTAATGAATTCTCTTAGCTTTTTGGGCAGAGGTGAGAAGGGAGCTGGGGGGGGAAAACCTTTATTTTATCCTAATTTTTGGAGTTATATTTTTGCTGGGTATAAAATTCTGGATTGACAATTTGTTTCACTATTTCAAACTGTTTAAGACATAACTGCATTGTTCTTTGTTATACATAATTTTGATGGGAAGACTGCTACATATCTTGTCCTTGTTCCTCAGTGCATAATTTGTCATCTTTTTCTGACTGCCTTCAGGATTTGTATATGGTGTGTTTAGGTGTGTGTAATTGTGTTTTCATATTTGTCCTGTTTGGGGTTTTTCTGAGGTACTTGGGTGGATCTGTCTTTCATTATTTTTCTTTATCTCTTCAGAGAGTTTTTCTGCTACTGTCGTCTTCTCTCTCTCCTTCCCGTCTTCCCTTTCTTCTTTATCACCCTCTTTCCCTCCCCCCTTTCCTCTTCCTCAGCCTCTCCCCTGTTCCTCTTTCTCTTGGATTCCACAAAAATTACTATTAGATTCCTGTTTAGATATTCTTCAACCTTTGGATACTCTGTTCACTTTGTTTTCCCATTCTTTTCTCAGTGTATTTCAGTAATTTGTATTTACCTATTTTCAAGTTCACTGACTTTTGTCCTTGGTTCTATTGAATCTACTGTTGAACCCACTGAAGGTATTCTTCATCTCTGTTACTGTGATTTTTTATCCTTAATATATTTCCCTTTGACTCTTTATTCTTTTTTTAATTTTTCTGCTGATATTAATCATGTGTTCATGCATGTCTTCAACCTTTCCACTAGAAGCCTTTACCATATTAGTCATTGTAATTTACAGTTCCCTGGCTGATAGTTCCAAAATCTGTTTTATAGGCAAGCCTGGTTCTGTTGATGGCTTTGTCATTTATATGTTATTTTTTTCTTGCTTTTATTGAGCATCTTGTAATTATTGATGGAATGTCAGACATCATATATAGGATAATAGAGACTTAGGTAAGTAGTATTTATGTCTGGAATTTTCTGCTAGGCTATTATTAGCTTGGGGGGTTTAGTCAGTCTAGTGCAGAGCTGAGCTGGGTTTGAATTTTCTTGTTTAATATGATTCCCTTTACTACATTATTGTTTCATATTCTTCGAGTTTTATATTGTGCTTAGGGTGGGGCTGTGTTGCTGGGATTCTGCTTCATGCTCAGCCATTGACCTTCCCTCTACTCTTGCACCTCAGAAAGTTCTCTTTCCACATTCTTGGCTCTTACCTTGATGTTGGAAACTACTGCTGCTTGTTTCTCAGTGCTTGTGAGCTTCATGATGAGTATTTGGGAGGAGGGGAAGGGAAGAAGTTTAGGGTAGGCTTGTCAGTTGTCCTGGTCTGTTTTCAGTCCTACCTAGGCCTGTTTCTTAAGGTCTCAGAAATGGGGCGTTTTTTGTGATCCTCCCCATAGTGTCTGACTGTTATCTTTGGTGTCTCCTATGTGGGACTGAATATCATTCCCTGCCCCAGCAGAAGGAGACCTTTATAGTCTGATTCCAGGAGAGTTTCCTGTTCTTCCCCCAGCTGTAGAGATAGTTTGCTTTTATCCTAACCTGTTTCTAGGATAGTGTACCTTCACTTGTTCCCTGTGAGCGACAAGGTTTATTGCCCTTACCCTAGTGTCTTAAGGCTTTTATTTTGAGAGAGGATAATCGTAGTGGTGCTTTGGGCCTTTTCTACGGTGGAGGCTTCTCCCCTTTTCCAGAGTTATACGAAGGTAATCTTTCACTGGTTTTCCACTTTGCCTGTCTTTCTTATGAGCTTCCAGCAGAGGCCCATGAAGTGCTTTCAGCTGAGTGTGAACTCTCTTGTGTCTGTGCCTTCTAGGGATTCTGTATCTCACATTAGTCCACAAGTCAACCTTTATCATTTTAGCTGAGTTATTCTTATCTATCTTTCATGGTACCTAGCATTTCTTTTTTCTGCTCTCTACCACAAGTGAGCTGGTGCTTATTTTCTGTCTCTCCTTGAAGGTGGTACCTGTTTTTCTTTTGGTTTTAGGGTGCTTTGTTGTCCTGTTACCTCAGATTTCTCTAGCTTTTAAGAAAAGTTATGATTTTCTAGTTTATCTGTTTTGTTCTTGTTGTTAGGGTTTAGGATTGCTCTCTCTCCAGCTTTGTACATCCTAGGCAGAAGCAGAATTATAGACTTTTTTTCAGCCCCATCTTGTTCCTCAACCTTTAGAGGTCCCTCATACGTTTGGTTCCTGAGTATTCTTTGTTCTGTGGTTAGAATTAATTTGCTTGTTAATGGCTCTCATAGACTTTTTTTCAGCCCCATCTTGTTCCTCAACCTTTAGAGGTCCCTCATACGTTTGGTTACTGAGTATTCTTTGTTCTGTGGTTAGAATTAATTTGCTTGTTAATGGCTCTCCAGCTCTCTGCCCTTGCTTATAGCATTGAGGAAAGTTGAGAAAGTACATACTAAGTTAGTTAGTGCTCTGTACATCTTCCAATTTATTTTTAACATTTTACATCTGTTGGCTCCACCATTTTTAACTGGTATTGCAGAGCTTGAGATTTTTAAACCACTGTAGGCAATTCCTAGTTGGCAATGAGATGATTCTTCACAAACTAATAAGGAACAGAATTATAAGAGAGAGAAGGAGACTCCTAGGAAGAATCTGGAAACACCTATTCACATACCTCAAATCAAGAGAAGTAGATTTCAGTAAGTTGTAGATGTATGGTGGTTTTCAAACTTTTGGCAGTGAAACAAGAAATAACATTTATATGATGACTCTCAGTACAAAAGTATATATGCTAAATGAAAATGCATTTTCTATTTTCTTTTCTGTTTGCCTCAATTAAAAAAAAAAAGCAGGGCCAGACCTACTAAATTGATTTCATGACCCACAAAAGGGACCTGCTACTACCAATTTGAAAATCTTTGCTGTGTGAGTTCTAAGAAAGTGATTAACATTGTTGCCTCATTTGTACTTGGCTTGAATACCTGAAAGATTTTCCAAATATGTGTGTATGTTTTGATATTTTTTGCTTTGTTTTATTTTTGTACTGAAGGCACATCATTTCAAAATTGATTGTGATAATTAAATTTTTTCTCATTAAGGCAGTTTATATCACTGGGAAAGAAGTTTTCAGCTTCAAAATGGTTTCTTACATGGATGCAACTGCTGGTTCTGCATACACAGATATGAATGTGGTTGACATTCAAATTAATTTAACTGTTGGTTGCATTGAAGTAGTTTTTGTCAAAAAATTTCTATATTCTATATTGGTAAGTATTGAATGAATTATTTTTTTTTTGTACTAGTTGTAAATTGTTTGCTGTGTGTCAAAAATAGATGAAGAATAACAGGAATTCTTTGAATTCTATATTGGTAAGTATTGAATGAATTATTTTTTTTTTGTACTAGTTGTAAATTGTTTGCCGTGTGTCAAAAATAGATGAAGAATAACAGGAATTCTTTGATTTTTTTTTCTGATTTTGTATAATAATGATTGAAAAGTGTAGTACTTTATTTAACACCATTTTCACATGGGAATATTCTAGTTAATGGAATTCTATATTTTATAATTAACACATTAAATATATGTGAATTCTATATCATATAATGTATGTTATATATGAATTGAAATTTTTATTTTATGCATCATTGGCTTAAGCCTTCATTTTACCTGACTCACAACTCTAATTAAAAAATACTGAGTATACAGTTGAAGTTTGTTTTGGTCTCAGGTCATCATTAAGAAAAATATATTTTCGATTGCATTATAATTCTGTGACTGTTGTGGAATTTAAGGAGTTAGATTTAATCCCTATATGACTCTGCCCTAGGTGTTTGAGTTCTTATTTCTGCTTTTCATAGTTTTTTTTCTTGTGTTTTTCCTTGCTGTCAGCTGATATTTTTTTCCTTTGAGTGTCATACTTATCTCTATGACATCACTATCCATTCTTTTAAAATGCTGTCTCTATGAGTTTTGGTGTATAAACTAGATTAAAAAGTCTAATAAAATAATAGAATAAATAGGCCAAATATGGCAATTCTTAGAAGCAAGGAGGGTATTCGTGTAATTACTTCGATATATTTGGGGATGTGGATGGAGCCTTTTGTTATTTCAGAATTTCAAGTTCATTCTAAATAATATTGCTGTTTTTGTGATCTTTTAGATTGAGGTTACCATGCAGTTTTTCTATAGCCATAAAATCTTTTTGTACAACGAAAAGTAAAGATGAACAAGTATTCCTTGTCTAAGTTTTTTTATAACCCCAAAATATTATATTACTGAGCCCTTGTGTTATAGCCTTTTACTTAGAAATACTGAAAATCAAATGTTTTTTCTCTGAACATTAAAATTAAGTATAAGTCCAGGTAATTTTTCTTTTAATTGAAACATATTGATTATACATATTTGTGGGGTACAGAGTTATATTTCAATACACGAATATAATAAGGTCCAGGTAATTATATTTTATGTCATTGAGGTATTTTTTTCTGGAATTCGGAAATTTGAAAACTTATTTGAGAGTTCTTCAAGAAACTTTTTATTGATTTTTTAAAAATTTTTTTGTTCTATAGACATAAATAAGCTCTTTTTCCATTGAGATTGTATAGGGAAATATCCTTTAGCCAGTAGGGAAAGTGAGAAAACACAAATAGATATCAGTGAAACATTTCAGTATTCCCACTCTGCTTTGTTCCAGGGACTACGTTTTTATTTTATCTGTAATTTTGTGTTTCTCAATTTTTGCAGCAGAAAATTAAGATTTAATTTAGACGATCAGACTTGGAATAAATAAGGCTTGATTGTACCAAATAAAAGTTTTTCTTATGGAGGTAAAATTATAGACATCAATATATATTTAATGTCTTATTCATTAATGGTAACCTTAAGAATATAATTCTTTAAAGGCTTTTATAGATAATTTTCAAGCAGCTAAACAAGCCTTGGCTGAGGCAACAGTTCAGGCAGCAGGAATGGCTGCTACTAGTGTGAAAGAATTGGCACAAAGGAGTTCCAGAATGGCACTGGATGTTAACATCAAAGCCCCAGTTGTGGTCATCCCACAGTCTCCAGTTTCCGAAAATGTTTTTGTTGCTGATTTTGGACTAATTACAATGACAAATACATTCCATATGATAACAGAGTGCCAGAGCAGCCCCCCACCTGTTATTGATTTGATAACAGTAAAGCTGAGTGAAATGCGATTATACAGGTAAGCTTTCCACAAGTATATTTGGGTAGAATGCAGTCTTTTCCTAATTTTTACATTAAAGGATTTGGTATCTTGAGTTTTCTGTTTACAGCAATATTTTATTATAACTCTGTTCCGTTACTCTGTCTCACCCAAGTCCTAATTTTTACATTAAAGGATTTGGTATCTTGAGTTTTCTGTTTACAGCAATATTTTATTTTATTATAACTCTGTTCCGTTACTCTGTCTCACCCAAGTTTTTTTTTTTTTGGCAAGATCAATTATAACCTTCTAGTTTTTAAAAACCTAGAAAGTATTTGAAAATTGCTCCTTATGGTTGTAGAAAGTAGGTCAAAAGGAGACAAAACTGGAGACTGAAAGAACAGTTTGGTAACTGTTGGCAGTAATTCACATAAGAATTATAAGTGACTTAGTCTAAGGTAGGGAAGTGAGATAGTAGAGAGCTAACCAGTTTTGAGAATTTTTAAAAGTAGAATTAATAGTAATTGATTATCGCATGGATATGGGAGTTAAAGCAGAGGAGAAATTAAAAATTCACTCTAGATTGCAGGTTGGAAAACTCAGTATTTGGTGATAATGCAGTTCATTGAGGTAAGACAGAGCAATGCGGAAAAACCAATAGAGTGGAGATCTTAATTTCTCTAATGGGCAAAGTAACTTTGAAGCAGTTGCATGACTTCTATATGGAGAAATGTAGAAGGTAGTTGGTTATATATATCTGGATATTAGGAGAGTGACCTCTTTTAGATTTCTAGATTTGGGAGTTCTTAGTAATATTTAGCTAGTTATTGGAAGCTATTGGAATGAGTAAGATCACACAGAGAGCTTGTGGATTGAGACATGTGGGAAAGAATGCTGAGGAACATCAATCTTTAAGGAACTGGCAGAAGAGGAACCCTCAGAAGAGACTAAGATGGAGCAGGTAGAGAGAGAAAGGGAAACTAGGAGAACATATTGAGGCAGTGTTGAGGGTCCTGTTGATGTTGTTATCCATAAATTAATAGTATATGTTATTTGTTTGTTTTGGTGGCTGGCTGGTACAGGGATCCGAAGCCTTGACCTTGGTGTTATAAAGCTGTGCTCTAACCAACTGAGAAACTGGCCAAACTGTATATGATTTTTTTTTAATGCTGTACTTGGTATTTTGTACTGGGACTCTAACAGTCATCTGGATTCAGGCAAGACTGAATTTTTGACAGGGAGGTGTGACTGAAGGCAGAGGGACAGGATTTTAACTACTGCAAGTCATGTTGATGGATAATGGATAGGAAAGAAATTAAAGACAAGTGAATACTGATAGATTAAAAGAATGTAGAGAGGGGTTTTAGACTGGAGATTCAACAACCTTAGTCTTCAAAAATAAGCACCAATTAGTTGTTGATGGATTATAGCACAAGTGGAAGATGGTGAACCTGGATGTTATTATTCTTAAGGAATAATAAAGTTGGGAAACATCATTACAAATTAAGGAAAATTATTTCTGTTACTTAACCTGAGATAGGGTTTTGGACAAAACTTGGCCTATATTTTATAGAATTTCAGAGAAAGCCAGGTTTCAATTAAGATGAGAAATGAATGATAAATTTAGTGAAGGCATTGGAAAATGCAGAATGATTTGTTCAACCAAGTCCCAGGGATTTCAGAAATTACAGGGAAATACCGAGGTGAGAGACTTCTGTCTTAATAATAGGCTATAGATATAATCATTTTAAGCTTCAGGGTGGTTCATTAACCTGGAGTTTGAACTTTGTGAAAAGTCTGAATTTACAAAACATTGAATATTTATGTATCTGTATTTAATACATCTTGATTGATTTCAAGAAATGAGAGAGGTAAAGTAGGTGTAGGTCTGCATTAAAAATAGATTATTTGCTTTTAAAAGAGTTCACAAATATGTATAGAGCATCAAATCATAATATTTATTATTTTTATGTCCAGAAAAAGATTAATTTTTTTTATTGACAATAAACATATAAGATTGGCAATTCTTATGACTACCAAAGATAATTACTATTAATTATTTGGTATATTTGTTCCAGTTAATTATATCTGCATATATATTTAACTTGAGTAAAATTAGAATTACATTGTTTTGTGTTGTAAATTGCTTTTTTTCTTAACAGTGTACTATAAGTATTTTTTCATGTTATTTTGAGTGCATAATTTTTAAAAGTATTTCTTAGTTTTTTGAAAAT